ACTTAGAAAACACAAACAAAGACTAAGACTTTTGATTAGAAATAAGTTTGTTGTTGAATGTCCTTTGGTCTGACCACGACTTTGACTCTTTTTGTTGATATTTCTTGATTCAAATGGGCGGAAGACCATCAGCAAAGTCCTGGTCGAATTTGGTGTAAATCGGACCCAAATTGAATTTGTTATGAATTTTTCTGTGGGCTGAAAAAGTCTCATTTCGCCCATCAACTAAACAAGCTCCATCTTCAGTGTCACTTAGCTTATCTAGCTTCAAGCTAGTGTCACTTAGCTCACTCAGCTCATTCAGCTCGTCCATGGTTGCGTCATCTGATGGGGAAACCTTGGTTGGATCGAGTTGGTTGACAAGATCGTCTCCTTGGACAGTTTCTATGATCCAAGCAGGTCAGTGCTCGAACCAGGGCGCATCAGTTTCCATAAACGCTATGTTAGCCGCAGTTATGGTAGAGCCTCCCCCCCCTATAATATCGTTTTTTATACGCTATGGTAAATGAAGTTATTGTAGCATTTTTATCTCTGCTGCTATAATTTTTTTAATGTCACTTTTTTATTGCCAATAAACTAAATATTATAGCTATTTTCTTTTGCTATAATATATTTTATAGGAGCATTTTGTCGTCGCCATAGAATTATGTTTAGTAGCTTTTTCCTTATATATAATAACATATATATAGTGCTATTTTGATGATATATATGATATGGGATATGAATTATACGGTACCTTAATTTTATAATTAGCTATTAATCAACATTATAAAATCAAATAAAAATAAATTATAAATAAAAATTTAAATTTATTTATTAATTAATACTGGTTTACAATTTATTATCGGTTTACACATTAAACCATCGAAACATTAAACCAACAAACACATTAAACCAAACCTAATTAACCAAAACCAGAAAACCTAATTAATCAATAATTAAACCTAAGTCGCCTCCATCAAGCTCCTAAACCTCGGTGCGTCGTCTTCTCCGCCTCCTCTGCTGGCGACCGCCGCTGCCGCCTCTGCTCATGACCACCACATTTGTTCACAAACGCCTCAATTGCTCACGAACGCCGTCAATGGTTAGGACCACAAGCTCTGTCACGACCACCACCTTTACCAAGAACAAAAATATCAGATTCATAGAGAGAGAAAGAGAGAGAGATAGAGAGTTACCCGTGGTGGTGGGAAATGTTACACGAACAATCCACCATGAACCTCTGCTCATGACAATCACGCCGCCGTCATCTTCCTACTCCATCCTCCTTCTCCTTCTTGCGTCTCCAAAGGTACAAGTCCGACAGAGGTAAACACGGCGTGTTCATCAGGAAACGGTGGAGCGGAAGAAGATATGAAGAGGGAGATAGATATTGGTAGGATTCATCTTGGTGGAGCTTCGTTTTACATGTTTCTATGGAAAGACAAAGAGATTGAGAGATAATCAAAAGAGAGAAGATGAGTTTTGGGGTGAAAGAAGATAAAAGTAAAAGAAAAATGCAAAGAGAGAGAGGGAGAGAGAGAGAGAGAGAGAGAGAGAGAGAGAGAGAGAGAGAGGTTAGATTTGGTCTGTTGGATTAAATTTAGAGAGAATTAGGCAAATACCCAAAATTGAGGTCAATATTAGGGGATTACACATGAGTTGACATAACTCTAAAGTTTTGTACAATTTGGTCTTAGTTGGACACTGGAACCCTTCTTACAATTGGCTGACACTCTCTCTCCTTCTATTTTGCAGCCACACTCTCTCTCCTTCTATTTCTCTCTTTATTTTTTATTATACTTTCTTTACTTTCACATTTTTTTCTTCCAGATATTTTAACATAAGAAACAAAGTATTGATTTGTTTTATTACACCACATATTGAGAAAATCATCATTGCAATATCTTTAAAATCACCGATTGTTAACAAATGTGTTATCTGTAACAAATAATGTAAATGTTAATAGATGTGTTAGCTGTTAACAAATACATGTACAAGAGGTGTTAGCTGTTAATAAATTTGTTAACAGTTAATGTCTCTGTTAACACATCTGATACATGTATTTGTTGACAGCTAACACATCTGGTAACGTCTACAAAAATTGTTACCAGTTAATGTCTCTGTTAACAAATATATAATGTATAATTTTTAATGTCCATATCACAGTGAGTAAATATAAAAAATCAAAGTTATTCTTCAAAACCACATAGGAAATAAATAAATAAATATATATATATATATATATATATTTTGAATAATAGAAAAAATATTTAGAAAAGAGAATGACAAAGAAAAAAATGATAGGAGAGTTTGAGAATGGGGAAGAAGTGAATCGAATGAAAGAGAGAGAGACAAAGGGCTTTTTGGTCATTAAAGTTAATTCCATTACATCATGTGTATTTCTCTAATTAATGGTCCAAAAAGGATATGTGAGCAAATAATCTCTTAAATTTAATCCAATGGTAAAGAATGTGATCCGGATAGTTTAATATTAGTGGTCCATAGTAATTTTCTTTATTTTTTTGTCTTCTTTATCTTTAGTAAAATTATATGGTAATTTCTATGATATTTATATAATACAAAATTATGATTTTATATTTTGGTTTCGTTATTTAAATTTGTTTTTTATTTATTTGTTAATGTCTGTTATAGAAATTTTGAAATATGTAATCTTGTTTAATATTTCGAGATATAAGATTATAATGATATATGATTTGAAGTATATATATGTACAGTTTAGAGTTTAGATATATAAAATAAAAGGTTAAGATTTAAAATTTGAAAATTAACTTTTGTGAGTATAGAACTAGGATCTTTTAAATTTAAGAATTTATGTTAAAAATATTACATTAGATTTATGACTTTGTTTGTAGGGTTTAAGTTTGAGGTATAGGATATTAGATTTAGGGTGTAGATTTAATGTTTTGAGATTTAGATTTTAATTAGATTAAATTTTTAAATTTATTAAATTTTGAATTTAAGTTTAAGATTGAAGTTATACTATGAAAAAAATGAAGTTTTAAATTTTATGTTTAGGGTTTAAAAACATGTTTAGGATGACAAATTCTATGATTGTAATTTTTTTTAACATTCAAATTTGAATAAAACATAAGATGTGAATTAAAATAAGAAAATATTAAAATTTATATTCAAAAATAAAAACTAAAATCAAATTTAGTGTTTGAGATTTAGGGTTTAGTTTAGGGATTAGTTTTGGGTTTACTTTCACACATTTTCCAGTTTTAACCGAAACAAAATCACATTTTTTTATTTCATTCCACACATTTTCGGTATTAACCGAAACAAACCACAAATTTTTTGTTTATTTTCACACATTTTTTAGTTTTTGATTTTCTTTCTCATTATTTAAAAACTTTATTGTGTACCTTTGGATGTGATACAAATATTTGATAAATAATAAGCCAAACATATTCATTTCAACAATATATATATTTGATATGACTACATCTGTTATTTATAAGATATTTTTGAAAAGCTTGTGTATTGATCTGTTGAAGCAATAATAATTCTCAGCATTTGTCATTTGAGCTTGGTGTAAAGTTGATGTTGTATGATATAATCTATCACTCCATCTCCAGATCTGCAAAAACAAACACCACAAAAAGAAAGCTAAGAATCTAGTCCACAATATCAAGTATTACAGAGAATTGGGAGCATCCACAGAAACAATTGAGTGTAACACACCATCGACCTAGGGAACAGACGCACATTCAGCAAGCAAGACTAAAACTTCCCTCTCATTGTGACTTTGACTACTCGTCAAACAATATGAAAAGTGAACAATGAAGCTCTGAACAACTAGAAACCAAGTGATAAAATCAAAAGAAGAGAACAAATGATCTATCTGTAATAATTAAGATAACCATCAAAATAGAAACTCATCACAACACAAACATAGAGAAACAGATGAATCTTGGTGATACATACATTTGAGAGTTTAATCTTATGTTTTGTACAGAGACGTTGCAAGCCCTGCATTATACAACATATTGATACGTATGGAGAATTTTCCTTGGAGACAAAACAAGATCATCACCACTTGGACTATCAGCTAACACTGGAACTGGAGAAGCTTCTGGACTCAACGGAAACTCTGACCAGATATCAAAGAACTCAGAAAAGGAAACAATGACAAGATTGTACACTGTGTACGGAGTGGTGCTAAGCTATGCTACACTAAAGAAGCAGCTAGCGAGTTTAAGAGCTTAAGAGCTGTCAACACGTCTAGATAAAGCAGCATAGGTTGCATCTCGATGTTATTCCCTCTATCCACTAAAATACAAAGGTAGGTGATACCCGAGTTCAAGCAGCTCTTGCATTGAAGCGGTAGTTTGCAGTTTCTCCAAACTTTGGGAACTGGAGCATTTGTGTTATGGTGGTGAGACCTTCGCAGTCGTAGCTAAAGAGAATCTTGGTCCCTAGTCAACAGAAGCGTTCGTTTGGATTCCATAGAGCTCCATGGTTCTAGAGATGGAGGTAATGCAAATGTCAGTTAAGCCTGGTTTAAGTCCGAGATCTTCTGTGTAGTTAGCGGAGAGGGAGACGGATACAGCGACAAAAGACTTCATGTAGCGACAGCACTTGGCTCTCTTGGTGTTGTTGGAGTAGACGGATGCCACGAGAGTGATGTTTGATGAAGTCAATTCCAATGGACAAACTATAAAGTGTAAACACACATAAAGGAAACCAAATCAACTTACAAAAAGGTTAAAACTTTGTTCAAGTAGTCTTGAACCATTATAATGCTAATCACGAATCAACAAACAATTAAATGATAAGGGTGACACAAACCTGCTTCAGTTGGTAAAGGCAGTTGCTGGATTACAAAGGACTGAGGTGAATGTGAGCAAGAAAAGAGAGAGCCTTTGCACAGCAGAATACATATCAAACAGATCCGGACTGTTCCACTGTAAGAAGGAACACTCCAGATTACTACTAGACCTAAATCCTGCAAATTTCAACAATAAGAAGAAAAAGGGATAAACAGACCTTGCTTCTCATCGTCATCTTAACCCTTGATTAAGCAAACCCTAGACTTGATTTTGCAGAGGAAAATGGAGGATGATGACAACTCGAAAGTGTGGGAGAAAGATACGACTCAGAAAGATGAAGGATTAACTTCAGTTCTTGCTTAGTTCCGAAAGCTGCAAGCAATTGGGTTGTCAGAAACCAAACAACGGCTTGGTCGCCGGGACTCGACGAGAAAATGGGAAAGGAAGAACCTTTTCTTGGATTTTGGACTTGCGAAGGTAGGGATGGAGACGAATCGATCGGCGTAGAAGAGCAGATTGCGAATCCGGAGAACATGTCCGAAGGAAAAATTGAAAAGACTTATTAGAAAAAAAAACTGGGTTTGATTTTCACTTAGAAACAAGTTGAACCTGTGTTCGATTTTGCATATACTCGATTCTGAGAATGGTGGAAAAGGAAAAAAATGGCCAAGTATTTTGCCTCCAAATTTTTTTACAGATATTGGTGTGATTTTCATGTTTCTCCTTAATGAAAATTTTACTATCACTAGTTTACCGCTACTAAAAAAATTGGAATCAGATTTTAGTTGTTTTAGTAGCCGTTCGAGAATTCGTGCTACTGTAAATTATTACCAATACTCATATTTCTTTTAGTGCATCCACCTTTTGGTCTTTTACAGCCTACTTTCCGTACTTAGACATCTCCAATAGAACACTATTTTTTCTCTATATTTCACAATAAAATAGAGTAACTCTATTATAATGTTGAATTTGCTCCAATAGTTCACTATATAATAGAGTTACTCTATTATAGTGTGAATTATAGAGGGATATTGGATTTTTACTCTATATTTGGAGTAAAAAAAAAGTATTCCTCTATAATTCCCAAGGTTCTCGAGTCTTCGTTTATTGCTAAGAAGGCCTATGAAGAAGAATCAACATGGTTTGATACCTTCACAGGATCGAGAGATGGTTTGGATACAGTGAACACGTGTATGAATACATGGAAAAAACCGATTGCTGGCTTCCTCAAATGTAATGTTGGATCCTCATGGCTAAATTCAAGTCACCTTAGTGGTGCTTCATGGATTTTACGTGATGAAAATGGTTGTACAGTTATGCATAGTCGCCGAGCATATTCCTATATGCGCTCAAAAACAGAGGCTGACTTGTGGGCTCTCTTTTGGACGGTTGAGTGCTTGCAAAATTTACAATTCTCCAATATTATTTTTGAAACTTCCTCAGAGAGCCTTCGTACCGTTCTCATACAGCCTGACGATCACTCTGACTTCAACATTCTCCGCCACAATATCTCTTTCCTTCTGGCAAGGATAAATTCATGGAGTCTAGAGCACGCTTTTCTTGAACGCAATGAAGCTGCCGCGGCTATTGCCTTAAGTGTCACTCGTGATCTGCGTCATCATTCATATATCGCCCGTCATGCTCCGGTGTGGCTCCACCATTTGCTCGCTCTGGAGGCTCAGCAGTAAGGGGTTTTGGTGAGATTCTTTCAATTTCTTTTTGGTGTCTAATGACATCCCATTGTATCTCTGTTGTTTTTCTCTTTTGTTATGTATTTCTTTAAACTTTCATCTGTTACAAGTGTTATAAAAAAAAAAATAGAGTAACACTATTATATAGTGAACCATTGGAGCAAATTCATATATAGAGTTATTCTATTTTTGTGTAAAATATAGAGGAGAAAATAATGTTTCATTGGAGATGGTCTTATTACACATGTACAAATTATTAACCTTTTTGACCGTTAACCCGCAAGGTAGACTAATTAAGTACGTGCAAGTCACTAAGCCCAAGACAAAAAGAAGCAAGTGCAAGTCACGATAGGTCACACACCACACTACGCCTACTCGTATTGAAGGAGGCGCTTATCAGACAAACAAAGGATAAAAAAAAGCAACTTAGATTTCAGGTTATTCATTCATAATGGACTCAAATCAAATGCTCACCCTTCCCCATTCTCCTACAATCCCAAAATATGTAAATTAAGATCACAACATACACACACACACACAAAAAAAAAACATACACAAACATAGAGAAATAGAGGATCATTATTTCCTAGTCAAAGAAAAAACAATGATGAGGGTCATATTGGGACGAGGGTTTGAAATACTGAGATATTTGGCCATATACTTTGCATACTTGTCAAACACCTGGTCAATAACGGCTTCTCCAAAGTGAGAAACTAGCAACGGTTCAGTGATGCATCTTACACGGGTTGCCTTCTCTTTACCGGTTTCCGTAAATTGAAGTGAAATTTCCTCCTCGTCTTTCTCAGTTTTGTATGGAACGATATGGTCACGTGTCTCTATCTTGTTGATTTTAAAGGATCCCTCGTTTATGATAACTTCCCTCACCTCTTCTTCGTTTGGATTATAGAATGGCATGTTGAAAGAGTACATCTCAGATTCTTTAATAATCCCCTACACAACATTGCTCCAGAATCTTAGTACTTAGATACTAAATGGTATTAGCTGAAAAAAATTATGATCCTCAAATTGGTGTTTTATGAAAACGTTATTGATATATATCTAGTTTATGTATTAAAAATTTAAAGAATAAAAGAAAATTATGTGTCGTTTGGGCGGATATAAACTGAAAGAAAGGACAAAACGCAAAAACAAAAAAAAAATCCTTTAGCAATCTCACATTCAAAACTAAAAGGAGACCAACACTATTATATAAAATGACATGAACTACAGTTAAAGTTATTTTTATGAACGAACGTGAACTAACTTTTGGAAAAACAAAAAAAATTTAAAGAGTAAAACGAATTGAGGTAAATAGCTAAAAGTTTGTATATTGATTATGTAAATAAATAAATTTATAATCGCTTACACTTCAATTTATAGTAGTCTCAAAATTCATTTTTCTTTTCCTTTAGAGAAACATCTTTATTCAAGAAAAAGTAAATTTTCTAATTTTAAAAGTCATACCATACCATCAAATGCTGGTCTTTTTATTGGTGTTTAGATATTTAAGACATTTCTAAAATTAACAGATATCGTGGATGGAGATAGGTCTGGGCATTGTACTCCGGATCCGAAAATTTGAACCAGAACCAATTCGAAAATACCTGATCGGTAATCGAACCGAAAATTTACAAGTACTTATTGGTCCAAAATTCTTTTACCTGAAAGAATCAGAATAAAAAAAAACAACCTGAATAGACCTTGATCCGAAAATAATCGATCTAGATAGACCTGACTCTATAAGAACCGATTCATACCCAACTTAATAACATGAATATGAAAAACCATATTTTTTTCCAATTTTCTATATTTTATTTTATGATTTAGTTAAAATATTATTTTATTAACAATGTTTGTTATTATTCTTAGAACGTTTGAAAGTAATATAAAATTTTAAATGTAAAAGTTCAAGTTTCAAAATGTTTTATTTTAGTTGTTAGTAGTTATTTTAAGCTATTTTGTAAGAATATAGATACGTATGACATATTTTTTTTTTAAAATGATGGTTGGGTATTTCGTCTCTTTTTCATATCCTAAATTCCAAACTCGATCCGGACCCGAAACATATCCGAATATTACAGATATTTTACAGGTATTCAAATTATAGACCCGAACCAACCTAAACCTGAGAAGAACTGATCCGAGTACGAATCCAAACCAAAAGTTTATTAGTACCTATTGGATCTAAAACTCTAAGACACGAAAGATCTGAACCCGAAAGAAACTGGCCCGAATCCGATCTGGAAACTCGAACGCCAGACCTAATGAAGATTTGATCCATGATATACAAGTCAAAACCATTATTTTAACAGGATGTCTAAGGAATCATATGAACGAAGGGGCAATGTACCAATAGTATAGTATCTAAAAGATATAGGCATTCATATATATTGCCAACTAATTTTTGCTGGGAAAGTAACCAATAATTTTAAACAAGTTAAACACTAGTTTATAAAGTTTAATTATGTCATTAGTTAAAAGTAAAAAGAACGAAAGCAAGTTACCTCGGACACTAGTTCGAGGATGCAATCAGATAACAACGACCAAGCGTGGAAACAATCGATAGATAAAGGATCAGAAACCTTTCTGCCCACGAACGTGAGAATCATATGCCCATCAGGTACTATCTCCTCTGAACGCATTCTTAGGAACAACGAAAAATCATTCTTGAACTGATTTAGATAACTCTTGTAGACATCTGGAGGGGATGTATCATTGATATGGATGCTTGTATTGTTGTTCTCAAGCCCATCAGGGACCTTAGAAAGCCAATGGAGACTAAAAGATGAATGAACAAAATGAAGAGACATGCTTGGAAACAACCTTGAGTAGAAAGAGTTTGGGACTCCTGACACGAAACACCTTCCTTTGACCTCCATCTTCAGCTTCTCTAGGAAAGAAGGAACTAACTTGAAGGTAGTGTTGAAGTCGTTATGTGGTAGATCGTTCAGACAACACTCAATCTCTGGTGGGTTGATTCGACCTTTTTGCTGGTATGATTGTATGATCGTGTTGACAATCTCGGACATGGCCAACAACGTGTTTCGACCAGAAGAACAACCCAAGTCAGCCACTTTAATGTATCCGGGATAATCCAAATTCATTAACATTTCTTCGATGCTTTCTATCACCACGTGTTCTATCTCGGAGAAAATCCGTCTCTACCGCAACATATCATAAATAGAACATATATCACACAGTGATCTTGTTCTTGTATTCATCATAACTGGTCATAATTTAATTACCTGAAAATGAGAATTAGTATCGTAACTATGTTCTCCATTTCCCTCTTTCATTCTAAGAGCGTCCATTATTGTGTGCCTGTTTAAAATATATATAAACGAACTTTTTCTCAATCAAATGGGTTGATTTGTAGAAGATGTATGGTTAATACACCTACTCATTTTACTAAAAACATCAATTCACAGATTTGTAGAAGATGTATGGTTTAATTACCTTGAGGAAGACATAGTAGATGCTCAAACTGTTTGATTTATTAATGGCTTTGAAGACATGGCCTTGGACTTGCTGGGATGACCTATATATATATATATGTTTTTCGCCTTTTGAAAATGTTTTATTTTGAAGAGAAAAGGATCGGTTGCAAAAGATACTTCCCTAAAAATATTCAGAATACAGAAATGCAAAAAAACAACAACAAAAAAAAAATAGGTACAGTTTTTGAATTAAAAAATACATCATATAATATGTATTATTCATTTTTTCTCGATCTGGATCATTAGTATCTGCTTTATTTGTTAATACCTGTATCAGATTTGAGGACGTTATTGGAAAAAGGTAATGACATTTTGTTTTGGTTCTAACATAACATGTGAGGCACCGAGTAATGCCCTTATAAATGACATGTGATGTCAGAGGAGCTCTTTGTTTTGGGTACCTCTGTTCAGTGTTTTGTTTTACTCAAAATCTAAGAAT